CAGCAGGTTCACCCCAAGGGCAGCAGGAGGAAGAAGCTGAGCACAGCAGCCAGACCCAAGCCAGGCCCAGCTGGATAAATCCAAACTTTGTAGATCTGCACCTGAACTTCAGTAGGTGCTAAGGTTATAACTGCAACAAAGATCTACAACAAAGGTCAGAGGACAGTGCTACACAAAATGACAATGAGAAGGAGTGACACCCAATATATATTTAAGGAAATGCATCTTTAGATCACCACATTACTGTGTGAGCAGTATAGAATGCACTTAACAACCCTGATGGAATAGACTACAGTACACCTGAGCCATGTGATATAGCCTTGTGTGTGTGGTTTGTTGTTGACGGAAATGCTTTGTGGCATGTGACTGTAGTTCCATCAAAATTCCATCGTTGCACTTAATACGTTTATCTGAATAGACAAACGTTTATTCTTAGTCCAGGGCTAGGAACACTGAAATGCTCACAGGAAATTTTACTTGAATATATGGAAATTTGGAGAAATTTAAACTAAGAAAAAAGAAATTAGGAGAAAGTGATATGAGACTAAATTCAGTTGTTTTTTTTTTTTTCTTTGGCAGAACCGGAATTGAACTCAGGTCCTTGAGCTTGCCAGGCAAGTGCTTATTCCACTGAGCTATCTCCCCGGCCCCTAATTCAGTTGTTTTTAAATAAAAGAATTTTTAAGGTACTTAAACCAAAAAAATGCACAAATCTTAAGTGTACATTTTCATAATTTTCTACAAACTAAATGGATCCATGTAACCAATGCTCTGGTCAAGAAACTGAACATTAGCAAAACACCAGAAAACCTGCCTTATTCTCTTTTCTAGTCATTATGCCCCACCTTCTCCCAACTCCCACAAAGTAACCGTATTATTGACTTTTAACACCAAGGTTAAGTTTTGCCTGCCTGACAAGTTCCATATTATAGGCAAGACTGGATCCAAATTTGTTACATGCACAACGCTGTAACTACTAATAGCTAAGATCTATTGAACATTTCCTACTTACTAAGCACTGTTCTAATTGCTTTACATGTATTTAATAATTTATTTTCATAGCCACTCTGAGAAGTAGATACTATAATTATTCCCAGTTTAACAAAGAAGAACCTGGAATACAGGAAAGTTAAACAATCTGCTCAAGGACATGCAGCTGCTAAGTGGGAGAGCTGATGTTTGAACTTAGCCTTCAGACTCCGTGTGATGCAGTGCACAAACATCACAGTACCTACAATCTTTGGACTGGCATCAAGTATGAAAAGGGCCTTTAAAGGCTTCTCCAAATACAGCTTCTCTAACTGCAGTGGAACACCCATCTCTGACAAAACAAAACAAAAAAAGGAGGGTATAAATAAAGGACGGTTTTGTAGTGAAAAAAATATATATATGTATGTACAAGATAGTTAGGATAGGTATACAGCTACTTTCTCTTAGTTCAATGAGAAGAAAAGTTTGTACTAATATTGTTCAGACAAGATATCATGTCTGCATCTTGTCCTCTGAATAACTACCACAAAGGCAACAATATGCAATGTACTAATTATT